CTTACGGAATTTCAGTTGAGCTTCATCGAGGATGATAACGCGGCCCTTCAAGGACCAGCGCTCCCGATGATGCGACCGGCACTGCGAAACTGAGGGGTCGAGGATGTAGTTGTGCGGGCAAAAGACCAGGTCCTTGCCGAGAACAAAACACATCGACTGGCGTCAATGAAGCAACTCGACCACTCTGGCCCTTGCAAAACCGCAAAACGGCTGAGTCCCAGTGGCTGCATCACCCGCGAGGATGTGAGCTGTGTAGTAGGGGCAGCCTGCCTCAGCGCCTGTGGCACTGGTGGAGATGAGGTCCTCAACCTGACCCGTGCGAGTTCTTTAACTGAACATTTGGGTGTTTTTTCAGGGGTCCCCAAGAAATCGGCTTTGAAACCAACACAAGGGAGTAACTCTGAGACGAGCAGCATCCCAAGGTTGGCCAGCACCGCAGCGGTCCTGAGTCGCCAGTTCTGCAGCCTCTGCGACCACTCCACTCTCGCTGAGGCGCCCACAAAGACCCGTTGTGCGTATCTGGCCCCCGCCAAGCCTGTCGCAAAAAGAACCTGAAACAGCCCATAACCTTCTGGGATAAATCGACCAAACGAGAAGAGTTCCATTGCGCAAACATGCGCGAACATGCGCGAACCCTTCGGCCTGTGTAGAACCCGCAGCCGCCCGAGCCGGCACAGGCGGCGCGTGCCGCGCTGCGGCACGCCAAGTTCAGCGGCACCTCGCTATCACCACTTGGGTTCCAAGAATTGGAAGTTGAAAGAAGTGGGAGCAAACACAAAAGTACACCAATCCAGACCCCGAAGGCCTTGAAAAGGCCCACGAAACAATCCCAATCGGAGGAAACGCAATTCCATCGACAAGTTAGGCCGCGTGGCTGCTAAGTGGACATTGAGTGGGCCCTGTCCTCCTACCAGCCATTTCTTCAGAGCAAGTACGAATGACTACTTAGCTCTGCTGCCCAGGCCAGCCAAGGTGAGTATATTGTTGAGCTCCAACTGATCCCCTGCAACAAAACTGAATCTGCAAGGTAAGCCTCCGTCCCCTTCGCAAACAAACACCTGGTGAATTGTATTCGTTTGGAGGCGGAGCGAACTGGACTCTCTCTCTCTCTCTCCCACGCCTGCTGCATGCGTGCTTGCGACTTCACCTAAGGGTGGTTGCACATTTCCAGCAATGCAATGAGCAGATCGAAACAAGGCTGGGATCTGAACAATGACGGGATAGTGTGGATACTGTGGATAGTGTAGCTGATGTAATGTGGATTCTTTGACATTTGTGGGAACTGAAGGTCGTCAAACAAATTGCAAATACGCGAGACGTGAACGACGAAGCGATTTTCGAAGCCACATGAGCGAAGGATCGATTCAAGTTGCCAAGGCTAGCACATTGCAGCTGAGAGAGTCAGTTTCTCAAACCCTCCAAACAAATGAAATTTGCAGATCCTTTGACAGATGCTATCTCCGACGCCAGGTGGCTGTCTCATTGGCGCAAAGCTGTTCTCGACTCCCGATCACGGCCATGCGAGGCCTGGCAAAAAGCCTCCAATTGGGAGTCGGAACTGTCAATTTAAGATGAACTGTGTATCGTTCAAGACAAGGCATGTTCTCAATCAAGTCGGTGTCCAAGCAAGGTCCCAAGACTTGTTTGGTCGAGAAAACTGAGGCCTGTGACAAAGCATCCGCCTATATCCGCTCTTGCGCAGCTCGCCCACAATCTGCTTGATCTGGGCATGTGTGCGCACCTTGGAGCTCAGCCCGAATTCAGCCGTCCAACTCGACAAATCCCGGGTGCATGGGCCCCCATGGGTCCCCATGGGTCCCCATGGGTCCCCATGGGTCCCCATGGGTCGCTTTGGGGCAACGATCCCAGGGGCTCCGTAGACCACCTGCGGCGCGGCTCCGGTCTCCAGGCTTTGGCGGCGCTGCCAGGCCAAGGCCGCGCAGAGCAGCGCCAGGCTCTTGCCGGTGCCCGTGGGGGACTGCAGCATGGCCTCACGGATATCGCAACCCCCCGTCCTTTCGAGGGTGAACCTAAGAAGTTTGTTTGCCTTTCGGAGAGATGGGGGGAAATCAAAAGGTTCAATTTGCAGGCGCTCTCTGTTGACCTGGCGTTTGCGCTTTCTTGTGGCTTCCTTTTCAAGACTTGCTTCACGAGGGGAACTCGTGTGGCTTCTCCATTTGCAGCACGTTGACCGCGGGTTGGTCACATAGCTGGGTCTTCCAAAGTGTGTATTTGTCATGCCTTTTCGTGAAAAGCTGCCTTTTCAGACAAACAACACTTTTTTGTCTCCAGGCACTTCTCACTTTCTCGCTCTTCTGGGACAAATCCACGAAGGCGAAAAGGCGACAATACCCACTTTCCCCGACCATGCTTTTGGCCAAATTTGAAACAACACGTTTGCAGTGAAAAAGCGAGTCCAGCTCGGTTTTGACTGTGAGTTGTTGGACTCATTGCAGCCACGGGGCAATGCCGGCCCGCTCGCAGGCCTAGGTCTGAGCTCGATTGACTCCAAGCATCTGCAAATCAACATAGAGATTGTTTAGGGCCAAACCCAAATTAGGGGGCTCCATCAAAATTATGGTTGTGGGCTCCGTGTTTGGCCGAAACCTACTCTTTATGAACAACAAAAACAGAAAAGGCCAAATGAATTGGACTCGGGGCCTTGAGCACGTAGCTAGCGACCGCCTCTTGCGGCGGCATGGGAGCAAAGGGGAAGTGCACCGTGTCCTGCGGCACTCCCAAATGCACATGGTCGTTGCGCCAACTCCCGGAGTCCATGGACAGTCGGACACTCTCCAACCCAGGGAAAAACAGGGCCGGTTGAAAATGGCACAGATATTGACACGGCCCTTCGCGAGCTTCTTGCCATCTTTTCCCATGCCAGGAACCACATGTAATATCACATCAGATGTGAGCTCCACCACAATAGCGGCGATGAGATCCTGGGTTTGGGCCAGGTTCGACAGGTTTCAAGGCTAGAGGATGGGGGAAGTTTCCTGGCAGCAATTTGCTTCTTTGGCCGCGTCCTGGCCCAAGCGCAGCTCGAAGGCGCATTTGGAGGAGTCCATGGGACATGGCCTGAATTCGGTTTTGAAAAATTCGAGGTGAAACAAAAAATCGCAAAGAAGCTTCATATGTGAGGTTGCAAACATTTAGGTCGCCAGGATTTGCGCAGACCCAGCGGTCTCAAAAGCGGAACATGCGGATAACCTGGCATGTGAACCCAAGCAAAGTGGTGGGGATGCCCTTGAAAAATAAACAGCTACATTGCGGTTCTGACAAAACTCATGTGGGCCTGTGACATTGATTTGCTATCCCTACCATGGCCCATACAAGCCGGCAATTTTTCAGTTTGCAAGACTTCAAGAGGATAAATTTGGCTCCCGATCTTTGCTATGACAACCCGCAAACCAAATCCGCCATGCCGCCTGCTGCCGCGGCTTTGGGCGTCCAAGTTCTCTCGTAGCCGTTCCACCGCAGTGCCTCCAGACGAGCCTCACGGACCAAAAGGGGTCCAGGGCAAAAGATCGCGAACGGCGATCGCGAAGGGCACAGAGAAAGATCGCGTTTGCTAAACTTGCTCTCGCTTAAAGCGCTTTTCTCCAGCTAAACCCCGCGCCTGGCGTCTCTCGCGTCTCTCGCGTCTCTCTAGCAGGACGAAGGCATTCCTGCAATTTGAGAAGCATCCAAGCGAAGTAGCGAAGGCATGCGCCTGCCTGCGGCTTCTCGCCCACGATCCGAACTAGAGCTGCCTGGCTTGCATCGGAAAGGACACTGACTTCTCCCGGCATTAAAAGCCCGTCGCATTCGACACATGGGTAAGTCTTTCTTTCGTGCTTTCCACTTCACCGGCTTCAAAGAAGACAGACCTGCGTTTACATTTGCGTCTCGCACCTTCTCTTTCGTGAGGTTGGGCTTTGCTCGGCCCAGCTTTCGCCGCTGCCGCACCCGCTGCATCCCATGCGCAGGCCAGGAAGTGGAACGTGCCCGGGCGAAATGACGAAGTGATTTGTCTCAAGCCTTTTGGGACATCGCCGCATTTGGATGCTTTGGAGTCCACTCACGTCTTTAGGAAATTCATAGCCTCTGTCAACAGCTCGGGCCAGCATGTGCAACCACGCGCTTTCAACGGCCCCCGACCATTTCCTATAGTCCACGCATGAGTGGTAGGTGTCCTATTGGCAACCCCGTGTTGGATAACTCCCAGTTATGCGCCCCCTCTGGTAACATTACTGAATCCAATGCTCCTCCCAAATCGACCATACATGCCATGCTCAAACTCCTTGTTTGTGCGAATCTTTGGTCATCTACGGATCCCATTTCGGGCTTGACGACTTGCTAGAAGCAGGGTCTCGGAGCGTAAACCCTCTGTTCCCCCCACCTCATAGTTTCTGCAGGTTTCACGGTTTCTGCTCATTTTTTGTCATGTACCCCAAGAAGTGGACACTACACAATCTAACATCGAGCAAATGTAGGGACCGGGTTTCTAAGGTGGCTTCCACTACCGCCAATCACCAAGCCCCAGGGTGATTGGACATACCACCATGGAGTCGTTCGGGGTGGAAACCATGCTAGCCTGAAGCTCCGGTTTTCCTGTAGACAAGGTCTTCCCATCCAGCATACGCTTTGAAACATGGTTGGAGTTTGCCCTATCTCAGCAAGGGTGCCTCTGAGAGATTGAGAGTCATATGTATACATCTCGGCCCATGGTTGATCTAAGCCTGCACACCTCTCCAAACATCTGAACCTGAACTCTATTGATCTGCTTGGACATGTGTCAGAAAAAGTGGACTTCCCAAATGGTGGACTTCCTGTTGGTTTGCCAAAAAGGACCCTCCAAAAGAAAGCACACAAACCCACACCCACACCCACACGCACACAAACACAAACGCACACAGGCACAGCCACAGGCATACGCGCACACTCACACACAGGAACTCGCATACGCGCAAACACCAGTTTGGAGTTTGAACATTTCTTGCCCAGCTCTGGGCTCCGGCAGTGGACTGTGCCAGCACCGACTTGGCCTTGCCCGGCCTCAAGCCCCAGCGAGGCGCTTCAGAAAACCACCTCACGTGAAAATGATTACAGGGATCCGAAATGAAGGGCCCAAATTTGGGTTCCAAGCAAAAAGTCTTTAAACATTGGATTCACAATGTGCGTCCCAAAACTGAGAACTCCATATTTGACCACAGGCATCAAAATCAATGTTCTAAAATTGGGCTTCCAATTCAATGTCGCAAAACTAGGTTCCAACGCGTCCTACTACAAACTCAAGTCCTACTGTAAGGAAATCCCCCCACCCCCAAACACCGGCTTTTTCACGGGCATCTCCAGCGTCGAACTGTCGAACAAGTCCCCCTGTTTGGTACCCTACACATCAATCTCCCTATACAAGCAAATATGTTGAACGTGTTGTTTCTCCGGGGATTCATATGTCGCTTAAAACCGAGGTCGGATGCTCGCTCTGCCATGTTGACGTATCACAAGACGGTGTCTGTTTTGGGAGACCGCCAATGGCGGGGTTCCTTTGTTGCCCTAACCTCCAACAAAAAGGGTGCTGCCAAAACAGGCGCAACTTGCTGTTGAATCTTGGCGCAAGGACAAAGTCTTGGGGCACATGTCAATGAAGGTCGCGAAGGTTAGTTTGTGCGTGAAAACGATGCAATTTACCAAACACTGAGACGGCTCCAAATATGCAAATGATTTGTCTCAACCGCTGCCGGAAATATGATTCGGCCTGCCTGGATTGAGCCCCTTGCGTTGAGGGAACAACTCCAATCTGTAATACAATGCAAGTTCAAATCGATGTCCTCGAATTGAACAAAAACAATAAGGGTATTAGGACATACTTTGTGCTCGACTTGAGGAACCTTGGGCCTGACAAGGCATGTGGGAAATGCTCTGGTAAAACTGAAGTGGGATTCCCATCCCTATAACTAGCGTCAGCTTTCAAGCACGTTCCCTTGACATCGCAGAAGCACAGCTTCCCCCCCTCCAATCGGAAGTCTGGACACGCGTCCTCTGGATTTTGCGGGTTCCCCCAGATAAGCGTGCCTTCTCAAGGGCTGGCATGTTGGTTTGTCAGCCTTGGCTCTGGCCTGATACTTTTAGGCATTACCAGTTCAGAGGCATCACCAGCATCAAAGGCATAACCAGCATCAGCAGCAGCACAGGCATCACCAGCAGCCATGGATGCGGATTTGCACGTCACACATCGCCAAACAAAACAGACTCATATTTTTTCCGGGCCTTCTCCGGATTTTGCGGGCCTTCTCCGGTTTTGCGGGCCTTCTCCGGTTTTGCAGGCCTTCTCCGGGTTTGCGTGCTCCCCCAACCTCTGCGTGCTCGCTCATTTTTATTTTTATTTTTCAAAAAAAAAAAAAAAAACAAGTTGAGAAGGCACTGTCCACTTGGGAAAAGCCTATGGCCAAAAATGAGGTACCTTACAGTAAAAACGCACATCGGCTTTTCCCCGAAATATCGTGCCTTCTCAGTTTTTTTTTTTCTCGGGCGGTTCCCCCCAGCCGGTTCTGCGTCGCCCTGATCGGATCCCCTGTTATTTCTTGGGGATCCTAGCTAGTTTTTGACCAGAGGGAAAACAACAGGGTTCCATGTCCAGTCCCAGGGGCCCAGATTGCTTGTGAAACAGCGCCTAAAGAGAAAGAGGTCTCAGTGCGTTGAACCTTCGTGTGAGGGGGGGACAGCTGGGAAAGCAATCATCAAGTAAATTTATGTCTGGGTGTAGCGCCCTTTAGAGCGGTTCCAAGAACTGAGAAGGCATGGTCCCCTGGAGAAGCCTCGGGGATGGGGGTCCAGACCCTCGATCCAACCGGTGGTTGCCTTGGTGGTTTCGTGATTTGAACCCCTGGTACTAGATGGAAAATCAACCGCTTTCAATCCATCAATCAAAGAGAAGCCGAAACAAACGTGGCCGACTGATCAGCAACTTTCCATGGGAGGAAAGCCAAAGCGTTGAGGCGCCCGGCACACGCTTCGGCTCGGGCTTGGCCTGGCCAAGTCCCGCAAGACAACTCCCCAAGCCCAGGTCCCAAAGCCCCAACCCTCACAAGGCACTGGGTTCTGTTTGGAGCCCTGAAACAGTTGCATTTTCAGAACGCCAGTGTCTATGGACATGGGGACTCAAAGACCCAATTAAAATGCAACCACAACCTGGGCGACTCTATGGAGGCTCATGTCAGGTACCCGTGTTTGCACTGTTTGTCTGACGGTACGTGCCCTTTTTGTGAATGCCGAAGGAGACCAAAAGGGAGCAACTCCCCTTGTTTGAACTCCGGGATCGCAGGTCTCGCATTCGGAGCCTCATCCGTCTTGGACGGCTCCTGCGGCCGCAAACTTGGATGGTTGAGACAGTGAAAATGCTAAACTTCTAGATGCTTGCATCCCAGAAATGCGTGGGAGTGCGAGAGAGGGACGAGCGCAAGCTTGCCGTCCTCCTGGATGGAGGCCATGCTCGCCTCTTCCGGCCTGCGAGTCCAAAACGCACGAGATTTGAGCTAAAGCCTGTCGAATCTGGGGAATCCGAGAGGTTTGCACACAGCCTTCGACTTTTGGCTGCATGCGAGGGGGCTCACTCGGTCCGCAAGGAGGACTTACATTTGACGGCCAAATGCATCTCGAACAGCCGCTCCTGGCGTCGCTTTGCTTGGCAAAGAGCGCCCCGAGGCTGCTGGCTGCAGAAGACTTCATGGCCTACGCGTCCGTCACTTCACCGCGCTCTTCGTTCTCTTGCATTCGTTGATCAGCCAAAAAGCTGGGGAATCTAGTAGCCGGAACCTATATAGTGTCTTTTAGCTTGCCCCTTGAAACACCAACCACAGGGGTCTGAAATCGTGTAACGATAGTAGTTTGTCACAGAATATGCATACTTGACCGCGAGTTTGATCCTATGCGAGCTGGGGCTGCGGCAGTCGAGGACGCCAGCACCGACTTGGAATCGCCCGGGCGGGTCCTTGCTCGGTCAGAGGCCGGAAGAAAAGGTGGGAGCTGGAGTCCGAGTCGGGAGCTGGAGATAGGTTTGAATGTTTGAGGTTGGGGGCTGCCCGGGTCACAAGCCGTGACACACTCAGACCCTTCTTTGGGACTCCCCACGTCGCTGGAGTCGCGGACCTGAGCGAACAAAAGCCAACTATGGCCTAGCGTTGTTTGCATTGCACCCTGCAATTACACCCGCTGAAGAACGACCCTGGCCACCAAGACCACATTCAGTTCTGAGGGCCCTGCGTGTCGGGCTTGTCGGCCTGGGCGCAAAGAGATCGGGTTGCTTCTGCCGCCTGTTGAAACCATGTCCAACCAAGTGAGCGTCTCACTTGAGCATGCGACACCTGTTGGTACTGTTTGGTTCTACCATGGTCAAAAAGGTGTGTACCTGCTACAAGTCGAGCATCAACTCATTTCGGTTTGGGTTGCTGCGACCCGGGGGGCCCCGCTGGCTTCGCGGTCAGTCCACCCAGCAGGGCTGCCTCAAGCGCGGCCCTGTTTGCTCTCAGAAAGCTGAGCAAACAGTGTCTGAAATTGGCGAAGCAGAAATTACTGTGTCGGAATGGGCATGCCATCGACCCTCGGACAGTAAGCGACAACTTGCTTCGTGAGTTCTCAGATGCGCGCCGCCGAACTGGTCATGGATGAAGACATCTGGCACCGGCAAGTAGCACGCCAAGCAGAAAATCCCGCGTGGGCCGAAATGCGTCTCCAAGCAACGCCAGCACCACCGACAACGCTGAAGCCTGGCTGCGCAAATCACATTGCGCCGTCGACAACGTTGCCTCCAAACAATCTGTTAATTAAGCGCAAACCAGGCAGCGACATGGCCCTGCGCAGGCCATTGTAGAAGACACACTATCGCGATATGTGATTCGGGCACGGACCTGTTCCCAGGCAATTGGGAAAGTTGGGTAAACAAGCCACAAAAGAAAGGGCCCAAAACAGTGACCAATCCCCGGTCCCGAGCAGGGTTTCCCACACACAAGTGACCAAACAACCACGATCCAAACCAAAAGGGAAAAGGATACCCGCAACCTGGGTCAACGATGAACCGCACGAGCACTCCCCACCAACCAGCCCCGGGCCGAAGTCTCTTTCTCCTCCGACACGGGGGTGATCGACGTGGGGACCCGGCGACGCTCATCCGAGGTCGCGACGGATATTGTCACTAACGCGACACACCCGATGATGCTTCCAACACATGGCTAATCACACAATATATTGAAATGACACAGTCGTCTCATTTCCGTCTCGCAAACTCTTCCCGAGCCCCGAGTCGCGCCGTATCCCGCGGTCGCTTCTCCTGACAATGAGCGGATTGGACAGCTCGCCCGGCACATTGGAGCTTGAAAGCTGGCGTGAGCCCAAAATTCAAGCAAGGTTTGACCTTGGCATAGCAAGGATTTCTTTGGAACCTCTTTCGCTCCAGCAACTTCACATTGGGGAATGCCAGTTGACTCCGCTCGCAATCTCCTTTTCCAAAGCTTCCGGCCTTGGTGCAACTCTCTGAATCTGTCCGTGGGTCCCGAAACCAGCCAACTCCTGGCAACCTTGATCGGAGGCCTGCAAATGGGTCATGATCAAGGGATGATCCTTCTGCAAATCAATAACGGCAGGATAAGTTGGGCAACTCTTGCCAGCGCTTGAGACTTGTTGGCACTACTACAAAATGGTTACAAAAGAATATATGTACTTAATTAGTATGAATACTATTTCTCACTACGGCAGTAAAAGCAAACTGGACAAAGGTTGCAAAACCTTCTTCCTTGTCCGCAAATCTTGAATCTGAGCGAGCGGCAGGTCGCCCACTGTGAGTCCCTGCGATACCAACTCCCAACGGAAACTCATGGAGCTCCGTATATTAACTTCCCAAGATCACATCGCATTGGCAACCGGGCAATGTTAAAAACCATCCAAAGGGAGAAAAATACTGGTAACCCTAATAAGTCTGTCCGAAAACGGGAAGCCCTGATAGGAGAACCTTTTGACGTTCTTTTTCTTGTGAACCCAAGAATGCTGGTATGGGTTCCTTCTGGTTTTCCTTGAAACACCCATCCCCAACACATCCTTATTTGAAAAGCACCCTTTTGGAAAAGGGCTTCAATTTCAAAAGGGGAACTTGCTGTAAATCTTGAGGCCAAGTTTCAAGGAATGGTCATCCACCATTGAGTAGAAAGCTTAGACAGCAGGCAGTCATAACCAAGGCCAGCAAACGCTTGAACTGCCGCACATGTGCCGCAGTCAAAAAACAGGTTGACAGGAATGGCCATGGCTCCTTCAATCAATTGGGAGTTGGACGGCATGAGGAATCCTATAAAGGGAAGAACATGAACTCGGGCGCCCATGACCTGAATCTTCCGAGCACGAAACAAAAAGATACGGGACTCTCCATCGCCACACCCCTGGAAGGCAAACATGTTCATGAGCAGGCGCTTTCACATCTCTCTTGGCCGGAAGCACAGTTGGCGGCCCAAAGTCCAAGGGTGCAAAGAGCATACAAGAGCATGATAGAATCTCGTGGTATGGCTTGTTCATCTTTTCTTCCACCATTGTCAGGGTCTCTTCCCTCTATTAAGAAGTTGCTTGGAGGGGTAGGACGGCGTCCAAGCCAATACCCAAACTGCCCTTCTGTGTGTGTCAAGATGAGGAAATCCCTCCAAGTGGGTGTCTGTTTTAGGGGACCCCCCAAAAAACAGATGTGGTGATCCTTTTGACACCACAGAAAAGGGGTACCCTCGAAAAAAGGCATTCGTTGTTCCTTGCCAGTGTGAAAGATTCTCGACCCCATCTCACGATATCTCGCCTCCCGGCCCGCAGGGGTGAAGGGCGGGATCTCTGCTTTCGGCACCCTCGGCGAGTCAAACTTGAGAGACCCAAAGGAAAAAGAAGGACTCCATCACCGATTTGGGGGAGGGGCTTGACGAGATGGGAGTTGACAAGCTTGGAAGACGTGAGTCTCCAACGACAGCCTTCCGAGTCCGATGGCAGGAAGAAACATTAATGATAATGATAATAATAGTAATGACAATAATAATACTAATAATAACTGCCGTATTTCGGTAAAGGTCACAGGGTCACAGTCTTGACTCGGGCCTCGGGTGCTATCTTTGCTAAAAGAACCGGGCTTCAAAGGCGAAAGCGCGTCTTGCCGTGGCAATCAGGCTGACCGGGCTGTGCAAACTGGAGCGATCCCAAAAGATCAAACTGGGTGCTACTGGGGACCTTGAATCCTCCCGTTGGGAACGAATGCAGTTCAACAGCTCATAGCCAGGCCTCACTGTTACTGGGAATCATTCCAACCCCATTCCGCCTGGCGGGGATTGGCTCGCGAGTAGCCGCGGGATGCCTCAGACGGCTTGCTGAGAGGAGCCCTTGCGAGGCACAAAGATCCTTCGAGGTGCAAGAAAAGGAGCACATCGCAAAGCCATGATTGCAAGTTGTTTGCTGCACCAACCCACCTGAGATGTAAAACAAACCAAAGCCAAGGGAAACACATACGAGTACAGTACCTGCAGTTGTGCCAATTGAAACTCCTGCAAAGCCCAAGAAAAAGAGGTATTGACCACAAATATCTGCTGTCGTGAAAACCATGGCGCCTTGGTCGTTGTTGAGCCTGAAAGTTTCCACCTTCCGGCCCCAACTTCCAGGGTCCAGGCGCGACAAGGTCCGCAAAGTCATCCCCCGGATCCTGTCGACGTCACCGAAACACGAGGCTTGTTTTTCGGTTAGAGAAACCTCAAGGGTCCCTCAGGGGTTCTTCGAGCAAATACTTCATGACATTCCTATCGCCATGTCGAAAAAACCCGAGACGGATCACATGGGCTTGCGCGCCTGCGGCAGGGCGCCGGGGTCCTCAGGGAAAAATGCCATTGATGGGAAACACTGTCACAATGGGCGTTTCCGAGGGAACCCTTTTCGGGGTGGGTTAAAAGGGACACCACAGACAAATCCACCATTCTTTTTGGGTCCCCTATTTCGCCGCATGCTTAAGTACCATGAATTACTTCATTCGAATACAGGTTGTTTTGCTGCAAGGACATATTAGGACAAGATCATGCAACTGGTCATGCTGAAACTTGAAATGGAAGCGAGGAGCCAAGCGCTGTCCTCGGCGTCATCCAGGTCAATGACAACGGGCTTTGCCTCAAGGAGCGGTCAAGCCGTGAGTCTGTCTCAAAATGATGAGACCCCATTTGCAAACTGGATGACGGTTCAAGCCAAATTAACCCCCCCAATTCTTGGAAACACACACACACACAAGCCCTCTGGACTCACAAGCTGCGCCTGGTTCACGCGCTTACACGTGGCGCTCTGAATGTCCACCATGCCTCGGGTGAGTGTGATCAAAAATCATGTGGCACTGGCCCCTAGCTGCCTATAGCTTTGCACACTCCAAAAAAAGAATCAAGGCAACAAAAAGGATGTGGGGGTATCTCAACATAGGAGACTCTCAAAATTGGTGGTTTCCCACTTCCTTTAAATTAGCCCCAAAAAGGGTACCATCAAAAAAGACTCATCCGAAATTCCTTTCAGCCTCGCTTGGCCGTAAGTTCTTCTCAGGCGGTGGCCCAAAAAGCTGCTTCCACCACTCTTCACGCCCTGCAAACGGAATGCAGCTGCTGCACGCGCCTTTGGTTCTGACTCACTGTTCAGGCAGCACAAAATGGCAGGGTCCATGTACGGGTCAAAGAATCACTTTCGGGCTACTAAAAGCCCATGGATGGTGACATGCCGGGGGGAAGCTTTGATTGAGAACCCCCGCTCAAGGACCACAATCCGCACAAACTGTTGCCTGCATGGGACGGTGTGGTCTCTGTTTTGTGCCGTTGCCACCTTCTCCCGCGCCCGCGCTCAAATCGGCATGTCACTCGAGGTTCGGCGTCCAAGTCGTTCAAGTAGCTCGGCTCCGTGGCGCGCGTACGGCGCGCCATGGGCCATCTCTGAGGCAGACCTCGACGTGCCTTGAGCACTCTCCAACTCGTCCAGCTTCCGAAAGTGTTTAGCTACATTCGACCTTAGGCATCCCAGCAGGGAGGGAGCTTTGTGTCCTCGCATCCCTCGGAAGGATTGCAAGCACAACCCGTCGCTGCCAAAGATCAAAGGGCAGCAGGTGCGACAAACGAATGCCCACCAGCAGCAGAAAGCGCCACTGCCTGGCATGAGGTCTCAAACGCTTCAATGAATGACTTTCGGTCTGTGGCTGTACCAGCTGGACAAAGTCTCTGACTGGCAACACTGCAGTGTACCCCCCCGCCTTCGCCACTCGCCGAAGCCAGAAACAAGGACTCCTGTGAAGCGGCACCGAGTCAATCACGCGCCATTCCGATGCGTGGATTGCGCTTGCAATTTCACCGCCATTCCGATGCTCCTTCATCAAAGGCGAGGATCAGCCGTGGCACTGCATTCCGGGCCGTGGAAAGCCGCACATGGCACTGTGCTGCGCTGTCGCTCGCCTGAAGCTGAGGGAGCGAGAAAGTAAGCCCCAATCAAGGAACCTTAACACAAATAAATGTTGTGTGTGTGTTTGAGAACAACCGTTTCTAAGTTTTGTTAAAAGGGAAACTTTAGCACATGCCAGGCATTGAGCGAACGAACAGGCGGCGGCCGGCTCTCACCAAGACTCTGAGATGGACCTGCCAAGATCTCGCCGCAAAGCTTCTCGCACCACGCCTGCAGCCTATCGCAAGCGTCTCACAACACCAGCCACAATCAAACCCGGTAAAGCGTCTACCCAACGTATCGAACTAAGAGGGCGGATATCGGCACACATTCTCCGTTTGGGAGTGGCCCCTAGCCCCTAAGCTGTATAATTAGCCAGTTTCCCTTTCAAAACATATTGAGAAGGGTACTTGAAAAACAAACATGTCTGATTCAAGTCACTTGCCTGAGCAGGGCGCCAGGGCAGACTCTCCACGTCTGGCGCACGCAAGGGCGCGGTGCTCACAACGTCTTGACCTACCGTCGCGAAGCAAGGCTCGCAAGCTCATTGTCAAAAGCAATGGACCCCTCATGAGTCTCATTCAAAACCCGGTATTTACCCAAAACCATGCAAAGAATCGACAAGGCGGCCACACCATTTTTATGGCTGGGACTGTCCCTGACTACCCTTCATCTACCCAAGTTTTGATTGTGGCTCTCATGCTGGGCTAGTCATCGTCGCTTGCCAAACTACCCTCGCCCAAAATTGTTCCCGAGCAAATCTCAAGGGTAGAGACCTGGTCATGTTTGAGTTTCTTTCAGGGTTTTGTGCTAGCCCCGGCTCATCACAAGGCCTCCCCCATGTGCCTCTAAAGAGGTTGGGGGTCGGGTTCGCAGTTCAGAGTTGAAAAGGCAACGCCCCACAACCAATCCCCAATAAGCCCAAAACTTGCACAACCACGCCCTGAAGCAGCCCAACAGCTAGGCTAAACCAGACACACACACACACACACACCTGCACAAATCAGCTCCAAACCAACCAAAACCGACCCAAAGTCAACCTTAAAGCCTCCCAACCACATCCTGAATTGATTCATGAATATCAGCCCTTTGCCGAGCCTAAATGAACCCCAAACAAACTCAAGACCCGCCCTTAAGATCTTAGTAAGTTTAACACTCATTTTAGATTAGCCCCGAGAAATTCTGAATTGCCACCAAATCAAAGCCTCTGGGCAGGCTTAGCCCTAGGGTTACGCCCCGAGGGGCTAGTAAAACAAAACACCGGTTCCTTCCTTCAGCTTCCAGCAAAAAAGCAACAATAAGCAACAAAGCAACAATAAGCAAAAATAACGCCAAGAATCCTAGGCAAAAGTCAAAACCGAGGCACCGGCGTTGGGACCTGCACTTCAAGCTCAGGACGCAAAAGAGCCAAGCGCTTCTCGGTTTTACCACAATGGCTACACTTTGACCCGACCTCTCAAGACAATGCTATTGACAATGTGTTGCAAAGTACCGCAGCTACAGCCACTAGCATTTGCGCACGCAGCTGTTCTTTTTCAACAGTCCGCAACCTTCGCCCAGTTGTGAGCTTGAGCGGGTTCGCTTACCATTTGGCAGTGCGCAGCGTTGCACTTGAGCGGGGTGTGCTTACCATTTGGCAGCCGGGGGTGTGCAGTGCTGTGCGGGTGCTCTTGACACGGTGTGCTTACCATTTGGCACACACATGTGTGTGTGTGTGTGTGCAGTGCTTGGCGGGTTCACTTGCGCATTCCTCACAAGTGCCAAACTACGCACGAACGTGATGGTATTTTGGAAAAAAAAAACGCGGGGTTGACAACAAAATGCAGCAAAGCCCCACCCGGAACGACACCCCGGCTACAAAACAATAGTAATAAAAACAGTCAGAACTCTTGGTAGCCATCCAAGCAGCGACAAGCACTTGGAAACAAATCAGCGCACACACACAGATGAATGTGAAATCGACTTCTGGTTAAATTTGCAAAACCACAAAGTAACCCTGAAAAATGTTCATCGCCCGTACACCTCGGACACATGGCCTGGCAGCAGGGCCAGCAGGCGCTTCCCGCGCTCCCAGGTACAGCTGGCGGCGTCCACGCCCTGCCGAGCCCACTGCCTCACGCGCAGTACGTGTCAAACAATTGCGAACATGACAAACCCAGCCTTTTGCGTGAACACCCCAAGAATGGGAGGGGTTGATTCCGCAGATGGAAAGGCAAAATCCCATCACCCCACCGATACAGGAACGTGCTCCAAAATTTACCAATGGGTTCAATTGGTCCATTGAGGCCCATATGGCTTCGCCTTCTTTTGGAGTTACGCTTGAGGATGGTAACGGGAATAATTCACAGCTAAGTGTATCACAGATGTGGCAAATTCACCGCCCTCGTGCTAGCAGTTAGTACGATATGCTCATATAAGCCACCTTTACGTTCCAGTGGAAGTAACCCTGTGGCAAGTGTTCAGCATGTAGGTTCCCGGCCGCTACTGTAGCCTCAGGCAACATCGATTATATGGCCATAAAGTTCAATGGTTGATCCTTGCACCTAGCGCAAAGCACAACAAGTTCACACCAAAGAGCAATGTCTCCAACCGATCGGCCTTTGCAAAAGATACAGATCTGAATGATACTGCCGACCCCGAGAAACATGGCCATTCCCTTCTCAAAATTGCCGCCTGTCCCCAAAATTGGTCGGGAAGCCTGCCTCCCTCGCTGGTTCGTCTGCATGCCCCAGCATTTCCACTCCGAGGCCTGCTGGTGGAAGTCCACCTTTCCTCACGGGAAACTTTGAATAGGGAGTTGATGAAAAGAAATATGGGCCTTGTCAAAATCGGGACTTGGACCCCAAAAAATCAGCTTTCCCTTTCAGGCCAAGAGGGTACTCCAAGAGCAAGACACACCGATGCAAAAAAAGGCGGCGAAATGCGCGAGCCTTCCCAGGCGTCGTGCATGAGGCGCTCGAAGCCCCCATACCCGCCCTCGCCGCCATCGATGAAGCAGCCACCCAAAATCAGTACTTGGACCTTGGCAGAATTCCTTCGAAAAGCCGAAAAGCATTGCAACTATTGCAATGGGTGGAACTGTTGGAAGAAAGATACTCCAAACTTTGTCCAAAGAGCCAACATTTTCCCTCCAAATGCTCCAAGCGATGGCTCAATCGATGAAGGGTTCGAACAGACCTGATTTTAGCGAACATCGCTGTTGACCATAATCTGCCCCCTCTCAAGTGCCAGGGGGCGGTGTCCTTCAATCCTCTCTGCTTCGCCTGCGTTTCGTATGGCCGGACCAACGTGTGTTTGTCGCTACATGCTTCGAACAGTCTGTGGCCCTCACGGGCATCTCAGGAAGGCCTTTCGTGGATTTATCTAGAGATGGGTGTGTTAGGTGTCCTATTTTCTTGCTCATCTGTTTGGGTTGTGAGGGAAGGAGAGGTCAGGTGCAACTACCCCTTTTGGGGAGGTACTTTCCCTTGCATCCCCTTACAGATTCAGGACTGGGCTATTGCCACCTTCAAATGCACGTGCTTGCACTGATTGAACACATCCCTAGTCAGGTTTCGCTCCTTGGCAGTTGTGGGAAATAGCTCCTGTGATGCCAAAGTGGGATTCCCATCCCTGCATGGTCGCACAGGAGATTCCTCAGAGGGTATCACAACAAGTGGAAACCTCAATCCCGGGCCCTGTCCTCCAGTGGCAGCAGAGCGGCGCGGAAGCGGCCCGTGTACTCAGCCCACGAAGGCTGCTGCAGCTGTCGCCAGCTGAAGCCTTGATGCCAGGGCTTTGGACTGGAGGATGCTGCAGGTCTTTTTCTTGTGCGCATGAAATGCCTGGATGACTTGCTTGTTGGGTGCAAATTTGCCTTTGCAAAGATCCACAAGTCCAACCTGAAGCTGAAACCATCCATTCAAACGCCAGGCCCCACCTCAAAAAAAGACTAGACCACGGTTGGCCCGAAAGCATAACATCGCAAGCGAGGTCGGCCCAACGCTGCAGGATGCGTTCTTTTTCCCTACACGAAGCATTCGTGAAGCAAGCGCGCGACAGCGCCAGGCAAGGTGCTCTGCGCAAACTGGTCGGTGCAAGATGGTCTGCGCAAGTTGCTCTACGCAACTTGCACTGTGCAAGTTGCTCGGCGCAAGTTGCTCCGCGCAAGTTGCTCCGTGCAAGTTGGTCCCTGCAAGTGGCTCCCTGCAAGTTGCTCTGTGCAAATTGCTCCGTGCAAGTTGCTCCCTGCAAGTTGCTCTGCGCAAGCTGCTCTGCGCAAGTTGCTCTGTGCAAGTTGCTCTGCGTAAGTTGCTCGGCGCAAGTTGCTCCGCGCAAGTTGCTCCGTGCAAGTTGGTCCCTGCAAGTGGCTCCCTGCAAGTTGCTCTGTGCAAATTGCTCTGCGCAAGTTGCTCTGTGCAACTTGCTCTGCGCAAGCTGCTCTGCGCAAGTTGCTTTATGCAAGTTGCATCTTGCGACGCCCGCCCGCGGACCAGGGAGGAATCGAACCCGCAACCCGCCGGTCCCGGGAGCAGGCGCGCGAACCACGAGACAACTCCCGAGGACCAGTTCGAACAACAAAAGTCGCAAAAAACGTCGAGTTTTTGGACCTCGACCACGCCGATTCCCGCAGAGGGTTGCGCGAGCGCCGCAGAAATCGAAAAAAAAACCTTGAGTTTTTGCACCTCGACCACGCCGATCCCCGCAGAGGGTCGCGCGGGAACTTTAGAAATCGCAAAAAACCTCGAGTTCTTGCACCTCGACCGCGCAGATCCCCGCAGAGGGTCGCGCGGGAACTTTAGAAATCGCAAAAAAACCTCGAGTTTTTGCACCTCGACCACGCCGATCCCCGCAAAGGGTCGCGCGGGAACTTTCGAAATCGCAAAAAAACCTCGAGGTTTTGCACCTCGACCACGCCGATCCCCGCAGAGGGTCGATTTTCGTGTAGTGTCGTCGGCACTACCCCACCGCCCTAAGAAGAGATTTTAACTCCTCGCAAGTCAATTGCACTTGACTCCATGCGCTTGCACTTGACTCCTTGCACTTGCAACTTGCACTTGACTCCATGCACTTGCAACTTGCACTTGGCTCCATGCACTTGGCTCCTTGCACTTGGCTCCTTGCACTTGGCTCCTTGCACTTGCAACTTGCACTTAACTCCGTGCCCTTGCAACTTCCACTTGACTCCATGCGCTTGGCTCCTCCGCCATGACTCCTTGCAATGACTCCTTGCAATGACTCCTTGCAATGACTCCTTGCAATGACTTTCATGATGGTGATTCCTTGCAATGACTCCTTGCAATGACTTCCTTGCAACGACCCCTTGCAATGACTCCTTGCAATGACTCCTTGCAATGACTCCTTGCAATGACTCCTTGCCATGACTCCTTGCCATGGCTCCTTGCAATGACTCCTTGCCATGACTCCTTGCAATGACTCCTTGCAATGACTCCTTGGAATGACTCCTTGCAATGACTTTCATGATGGTGATTCCTTGCAATGACTCCTTGCAATGACTCCTTGCAATGACTTTGATGATGATTCCTTGCAATGACTCCTTGCAATGACTTTCATGATGGTGATTCCTTGCAATGACTCCTTGCAATGACTTCCTTGCAACGACTCCTTGCAATGACTCCTTGCAATGACTCCTTGCAATGACTCCTTGCAATGACTCCTTGCATGACTCCTTGCATGACTCCTTGCAATGACTCCTTGCAATGACTCCTTGCAATGACTCCTTGCAATGACTCCTTGCAATGACTCCTTGCCATGACTCCTTGCAATGACTCCTTGCAATGACTCCTTGCAATGACTCCTTGCAATGACTCCTTGCATGACTCCTTGCAATGACTCCTTGCAATGACTCCTTGCAATGACTCCTTGCAATGACTCCTTGCAATGACTCCCTTGCAATGACTCCTTGCAATGACTCCTTGCAATGACTCCTTGCAATGACTTTCATGATGGTGATTCCTTGCAATGACTCCTTGCAATGACTTTGATGATGATTCCTTGCAATGACACCTTGTAATGACTCTCATGAGAACAACTCAAGTGAACCCAGCGGAAGAACCCTTCGCCATGCTTTCGGGAACAAGACAAGGCCCGGAAAGTCCTGGAACCCCGGAGCCTCCCTGAAAGCTGCTCCGAACCATCCGGGCAGACCCGGTAGCTCTCAGCTGTCTCAAAGAAGCAAGAAGTCAACGTGAAGCTATGATACGCCAAGTGTCAAACATGACAGGTGTCACAGCATGACAGCTGATAAGCTTTGAGAACTGAGACTCCCTGCAGATCAACATGGAACCCGAGAAACCAAGCACTTTGCTGTGGAAACTTGTTTTTGTGAAAGGGCCCCACTTCGTTTCAGCTTCAGCTCAGTCCGGGGGTGCGGCCGGCATCGTCACTGATCCATAGATCCTGACCTCAGAGCGTTGCGGCTTGCATTGGCCCAACAGCCAGCCAGAGGCGCAATTAACAAGTTGCAACGAAACCTCAGCAAATCGGGGTATGCACTTCAATGAGACATGAAAGGCAGTTTCCTCTTCCAACAACGGCGAGCGAGGGGTCCCAAATGTGTCTAAAAACGGGGAACACTGTTCTGTCCTGGACAAACTGATTTGGAGAGGTCCTCAAGACGCAACTCGCCATGCAACAAACCGCACTGATTGACGGGGTGCGGATTACTTTTTTTTGAACGCCGTCTTGGAATCGTAAGCTCCAAGCCAGCAAGCCCCAAACGTCCAAAGGTGAACGAGGCTGCTCCCTGGACTTCCTTCTTGAGCTTTCCACAAGTGAAGCCCACATGGATCCAACCCAGATTTGCCCCTACGTCTCCAAACCTCCTGGATCGCCAACATCCCAAGAGCAAAAGTGCTGTGACTTCAAAATGAGTTCAGAAAAGAAACAGAACAGAAGCCCTTACCAAAGATTACTTGAGGTTGACCCTGGAGGAGTAGACGCCAATAGCCAACTGCTTGACTGATCAATGCTTCTGCCTCGTGTTACCAAACCGCAATGGAATCCGCTGGTTTGGGCAGGCAGAATCCCTTTGCGGAACTGATGAATCAACTGGGTTCCCACAAGCTGCGCGAACACCCGCAAGAAATCCAGGTTTAACCCAGGTGAAAATTCATGGAAACCCAGTTGATGAAGAAACCTGTTCATCTTTTTTTTGGGGGGGGAGAATCACTGTTGCGGGCACACCCCAATCAGTACCCAGAATAAGATTAAAATTAGCAGTTCCTTCCTCTCATGTGCAACTCGGTATAAAATCCATGTAACATACCCGCGTGAGGATGAATCCGCCGACCCCTTCTCCTCAAAGGGGGAGGCGCACGGGAAGGGTGGTTACAGCCCAAGTCCAAGGTGGGTTGGTAAATGAGCATATCCGAAGATTCAACATTATCAGCGTAAGTAATACCGTCATCGTAGCATCCTTTGCACCTCAAAGATGTGTCTTTCTACACCTTTCAAGTGTGGGGTTAGAAAGCATTGGTGACGCAGAGGATGAAACGATGATAGTTATTTCCCGAGCAACTATTATCGTTGTCATCCTTATCTTTCTCCTATCTGATCAGATCTGTGTCATATACGTTTCAAGCGTGCTGTTAGACCCGGTTGGAGATGCAGAGGATGCGTAGTGATGGCGATGCTGATGACGATGATGACGCCGATGATGATGACGATGATGATGATGATGATGACGATAATGACCACCATCATGGTGATGATGACATGGTCATCATCATCACATTCTAATCGTTGTGACCTGATTGGAGATGCAGAGGATGCGTAGTCATCATTATCATCATGACTGTTGGCGATGCAGAGGATGCACGATGATGGTTATCATCGATGATGATAACGGTGATGACGACGCTGATGGGCGACGGCTGTGATGACGATCCTTATCTTTTTCATATACGATTCAAAAGTCCATTGGAGATAGCACAAGTTCAAGGTGGGTAGGTAAATGAGCATATCCGAAGATGCAACATTATGAGCGTAAGCAATTCCGTCATCGTAGCATCCTTTGCACCTCAAAGATGTGTCTTTCTACACCTTTCAAGTGTGGGGTTAGAAAGCATTGGTGATGCAGAGGATGCTACGATGATAGTTATTTTCCGAGCTACTATTATCGTTGTCATCCTTATCTTTCTCCTATCTGATCAGATCTGTGTCATATACGTTTCAAGCGTGCTGTTAGACCCGGTTGGAGATGCAGAGGATGCGTAGTGATGACGATGATGATGACGATGATGACGACGATGATGATGACGATGATGATGATGATGCTGACGATAATGACCACCATCATGGTGATGATGAAATGGTCATCATCAGCACATTATAATTGTTGTGACATGATTGGAGATGCAGTGCAGAGGATGCGTAGTCATCATTATCATCATGACTGTTGGCGATGCAGAGGATGCACGATGATGGTTATCATCGATGATGATAACGGTGATGACGACGCTGATGGGCGACGGCTGTGATGACGATCCTTATCTTTTTCATATACGATTCAAAAGTCCCGTTAGACCCGATTGGAGATGCAGAGGGTGCGTAGTCATTCTTATCATAATGACTGTTGGTGATGCAGAGGATGCACGATGATGGTTATCATCGATGATGATAACGATGATGGTTATCATCGATGATGATAACGGTGATGATGAGATTGGAGATGCAGAGGGTGCGTAGTCATCATTATCATCATTACTGTTGGTGATGCAGAGGATGCACGCGTAGTCATCAGTATCATCATGCCTGTTGGTGATGCAGAGGATGCACGATGATGGTTATCATCGATGATGATGACCGTGATAATGACGATGATGGGAGGACCTTTATCTTTTTGATGACCGTGATGATGACGATGATGGGCCACGGCTATGATGAGGATCCTTATCTTTTTCATATACGATTCAAAAGTCCCGTTAGACCCGCTTGGAGAGGCAGAGGGCGCGTAGTCATCGTTATCATCATGACTGTTGGCGATGCAGAGGATGCACGATGATGGATATCATCGATGATGATAACGGTGATGCTTTTTCATATACGATTCAAAAGTCCCGTTAGACCCGATTGGAGATGCAGAGGGTGCGTAGTCATTCTTATCATAATGACTGTTGGTGATGCAGAGGATGCACGATGATGGTTATCATTGATGATGATAACGATGATGGTTATCATCGATGATGATAACGGTGATGATGAGATTGGAGATGCAGAGGGTGCGTAGTCATCTTTATCATCATTACTGTTGGTGATGCAGAGGATGCACGCGTAGTCATCAGTATCATCATGACTGTTGGTGATGCAGAGGATGCACGATGATGGTTATCATCGATGATGATGACCGTGATGATGACGATGATGGGAGGATCCTTATCTTTTTGATGACCGTGATGATGACGATGATGGGCCACGGCTAGGATGAGGATCCTTATTCCCCAAACAGTTTACTGTGAGGGGTTCTAAATTCATTTAAGGTGGCTCGCCTGTTGCCAAGCCCTAGCCTGGATGCCTGGCACAGCTCTCTGGGTGGACGGGTTCATTTGTCTCCCTGTGTCTCCCTTCATTTGTCTCCCGTTGTCTCCCCGCCTGGATGCCTGGCACGGCTCTCTGGGTGGACGCGTTCGTTTGTCTCCCTGGGTTCACTTGTCTCCCTTTGTCTCCCTTCATTTGTCTCCCGTTGTCTCCCAGCCTGGATGATCCAGTCTGGGTGGACGGGTTCATTTGTCTCCCTTTGTCATTTGTCTCCCGTTGTCTCCCAGCCTGGATGCCTGGCACGGCTCTCTGGGTGGACGGGTTCATTTGTCTCCCTTTGTCTCCCTTCATTTGTCTCCCAGCCTGGATGCCTGGCGCGGCTCGGGTTCATTTGTCTCCCTTTGTCTCCCTTCATTTGTCTCCCGTTGTCTCCCAGCCTGGATGCCTGGGTGGACAGATTCACTTGTCTCCCTTTGTCTCCCTTCATTTGTCGCCCGTTGTCTCCCAGCCTGGATCTGGCACGGCTCTCTGGGTGGACGGGTTCATGTGTCTCCCTTTGTCCCCTTCATTTGTCTCCCGTTCTCTCCCAGCCTGGATGCCTGGCACGGCTCTCTGGGTGGACGGGTTCATTTGTCTCCCTTTGTCTCCCTTGATTTCTCCCGTTGTCTCCCAGCCTGGATGCCTGGCACGGCTCTCTGGGTGGACGGGTTCATTTGTCTCCCTTTGTCTCCCTTCATTTGTCTCCCGTTGTCTCCCAGCCTGGATGCCTGGCGCGGCTCTCTGTCTCCCAGGATGTCTGGCACCCCTTTGTTTCCCTTCATTTGTCTCCCGTTGTCTCCCAGCCTGGATGCCTGGCACGGCTCTCTGGGTGGACGGATTCATTTGTCTCCCGTTGTCTCCCAGCCTGGATGTGTGGCACTCACGCTCCGCGGTTTCCTTCACTTCCCGCGGTTCTGTCCTTTTGGCGGGGTCTGGTTTGCCTTCGGCTTTGGCCCTGGCTTCGGTCATTCCTTGTCTTGTGGATGTTGGGGACAGGGTCCTCTGTCTGCCCTTCATCTGGACTTCGATTTCGCTTGGGCTCGTGGTGGGTCGTCTTCCTTGTCTATCGTTGGCTACACCCTGTCTGTTCGTTCAGTGCCTCGTTATCAGTTGCGGTCCCGAGCTGACGATAGCGGTGCGCTGCGGTGCGCGGCTTCAGCTACGAGAAGGCTCTGTTAACCCCCCGGTGAAACAAACGTGAATCACGCTGGAGTTAAATCCTCTATCGATTCTTCGAGGATGTTCAACGAACCTTACGCTGAGATAATCAGTGGTGCTCTTGGCACCTGGGGTTGTCCCGGCTCTCCCGGCGGACGGGTTCATTTGTCTCCCTCTCCCTCCATTTGCCTGACGGATTCATTTGTCTCCCTTTGTCTCCCTTTATTTGGCCCCGGTTGTCTCCCAGCCTGGACGCCTGTCACGGCTCTCTGGGGTGGAGGGGTTCATTTGTCTCCCTTTGTCTCCCTTCATTTGTCTCCCGTTGTCTCCCAGCCTGGATGCCTGGCACGGCTCTCTGGGTGGACGGGTTCATTTGTCACCCTTTGTCTCCCTTCATTTGTCTCCCGTTGCCTCCCAGCCTGGATGCCTGGCACGGCTCTCTGGGTGGACGGGTTCATTTGTCTCCCTTTGTCTCCCTTCATTTGTCTGGCACGGCTCTCTGGGCTTTGTTTCCCTTCATTTGTCTCCCGTTGTCTCCCAGCCTGGATGTCTGGCACGGCTCTCCAGGCGGACAGATTCACTTGTCTCCCTTTGTCTCCCTTTATTTGTCTCCCTTTATTTGTCTCCCGTTGTCTCCCAGCCTGGATGCCTCTTGAGTGGACGGATTCATTTGTCTCCCGTTGTCTCCCAGCCTGGATGTGTGGCACTCACGCTCCGCGGTTTCCTTCACTTCCCGCGGTTCTGTCCTTTTGGCGGGGTCTGGTTTGCCTTCGGCTTCGGCCCTGGCTTCGGTCATTCCTTGTCTTGTGGATGTTGGGGACAGGGTCCTCTGTCTGCCCTTCATCTGGACTTCGATTTTGCTTGGGCTCGTGGTGGGTCGTCTTCCTTGTCTATCGTTGGCTACACCCTGTCTGTTCGTTCAGTGCCTCGTTATCAGTTGCGGCCTCTCTCTGTCCTTGCTCGCATTTGGAGTCCCGAGCTGACGAGAGCGGTGCGCTGCGGTGCACGGCTTCAGCTACGAGAAGGCTCTGTTAACCCCCCGGTGAAACAAACGTGAATCACGCTGGAGTTAAATCGTCTATCGATTCTTTGATGATGTTCAACGAACCTACGCCGAGATACCCAGAGGTGCTCTTGGCACCTGGGGTTGTCCCGGCTCTCCCGG